TCGAGTTAATCAGTTGATCGGCGAACTAAATCAGATCTCCAAAGATTAATTTGAGTGAAATCTCGAATTAATTAATTCTCCTTCACAAAGCGATGTGTCAGTAAATATATATTTGTCCGTTTTCAACATATTGTATTTTTGCTGAAATTTATGACACGTTGTTGGCAACTTGTTGTCATGTTGCTCTTTATGTTAGTGATAAACCGTTGATAGCAAATATACAGCAAGTTGTCGGCAACACATGTTGAATACGTGTCATGTCAAACCAAAGACAAATACCTGACTCACCTTGTTCTAAATTTGCTGAAAACTCAAGCGTTTTGTTTTCGGCAACATGACAGCAAAAACACAGACAGGTGGCTATCAGGGTTGTTATTGCCTTCTCTCTATCTTTTTATTTAAACATACAAAGAGCACGAAATTTATAATAGAAATAAAAGTTGTAATCGAGAATAAGATTAAGTGTGAAAAACAAGACGATATTGTGTGTGTGTCGATCACTTAATAAATAATATTAAAAGAATATAAACCTTAAGTTATCTTTTTCTACTCATGCTAAGCATATCTTCTCTCTCTTATGAATGTTTTTTACCCTTGCAAAAAGTACTCTTTCAGTTTTTAAAGACTTTTATTTTATCCGTTCGTTAGTGTGAGAAAGTAAAAACACCCGAAAAACTTAAGCTGACACTTAATATAATTTATTATACAAATATATATTATTTATTTTTTATACAAATGGCGTTACTTATGTTTTTCAAAACTGCTTACAATAATAAGTTTAGAAATTGTATTGTATTATTCAATGTTTTTAATACAAAACTATATAAATAAATATTTTAGAATCTTACTTATTTATGCAAGTTATCAACTACTGGATCAACTATCTTATTCTTCTATTTATATTAAAAGAACACTTCAATATTTTCAAGTAACCCATACGACTATACATTGTTGAGAGACATGTAGATTTTTAGATCACCTTTGATTGATGATATATTTGATAAAAATGTGAGATTTTAAAACTATAAACGTAGTTTTATGTTATGCGTATTGCGACTTCAATGATTCGTTGTATGCTAATGAACAAAAAGATTTATCAATTAGTAATAAACTGAGAATCATCTCGGGCTCTAAGTCTTTAAACTAATCAATAAATATAATTGGTCTTGAAGTCCCGTTCGCTGGATGTTGTGCGGAGAATATGTCTATATATATATATATATATATGTATATATATATATGTATATATATATATATATATATATATATATTGTATATACATATGTGTACACATATAAACAAATTCACATTTTCATGTGAGTTTTTGAAGTAAAAAAGATTTATACCTCTTGTGAGGTTTGAATTCACGATCACTGGTTTATGAGACCAGTGCTCTACCACTGAGCTAAAGATGCGTTTCATATCACTGAAAGTGTCATTGCCATACATTTGTTAAAATATCAAATCAATATTATTTTTTTGTTGTATAAAATAGTATAAGATTTGTATGAAAAACTTCAAGCATTTATATAATTTATAAATATCCTAAAGTTTGTGATTAAATTGATAAAAACGAATGTATATTTGTGTGACTATTTTAAGTTTTTCCTTTTTACGTGTGTATGCAGTAACAGGAATCTGTTAATTGTTTTTTGAAAGCTTGTGAGAATATATATAAAAGCATTTTCAAACTTAACATAGACAACATGTCGGAAAATAACATGTTCAGCTCCGATATATTTCTGTCAATAATACATGTGTAGCTGCGCGCGCTCTCTCTTCAAAAAGCAAGACTGCAAAAGCATTATTCTATGCGTGTGGAAGCGTTATCGTATATTCCATATACGATAACGCTTTGCAGCCGGTATATTGACAGCAATTAAATATATATATATAATTGTACGCGCTGGTATATTGGCAACTGTGCACACGTGTAAGATGCGCGCGCTGTGCCGCGCCTTTTTTGTCACGTGACCAAACTCCAATTCGAGTTTTCTTGTGCACGCGCAGAAAAAAAAACGTAGCATTAATAAAATACTAATTCAAGTAAAGCATCGATATTATTTGACTTCCACTTTAATACTTTTATATTTATTATTTTTTTACCTAGTTTCTCAGAAAGATACCTTAACTATTTGTCTCAAAATCCTTTTTGTCATAAAATCGGAACAATTTACACATTGACAGATAGAGCTATTCTGTTACCCGATCCTTCTTTCCATTACAAAAATTTATCACTCACCATACAAATTTTGACTAACAATAACTAACTACTCATTAGAACTCATTTTTACAACAATCAATAAACGACTTAAAGTACTTTTTTCAACACAGTTAAACAAAAATGATTCATATTTCGATTCACAAGACAAGGATCAAACTAAATACTTTGTCATCCCATTCATTCCTACTCCAAATAATAATAGTTTTAGTCCACTAGTAAATCGAATGCAGAACGCAAGACTACACAGTAAAAAATTGTGCGTCAAAATGTAGAACTTTTCTTGTGTTACGACGTTTTGATTATTACTTCAATGTAAAATTAACATAATACTGATATGTTATTATTTTTTTAATCTTTTCACGTGTCAAATTTATGTTAACTTCACAAATTAACATTTTTTGCAT